TCGGCATTATCTGAATAGATGATCCCACAGTTGCCTTCAATCCCTTTTCTTACTAAAATTCTGGATTTCTTAGACTTCCGAGACTACCACTGTGACATCTCAGATTATTCTGTAGAATTAACTCAACAACTTTCAATATTTAATTAGGTTAAGTATAGTTTTACAAATCCACTTCTTCTTTATTTTTGTTAATCTCTTTGGGGTAATTTTTTCCCTACGTATACCGAGATTACGTTATTATTATTGTTTTTAATTCTTCAGCAATTCATTTATAAACACTTAGAAAAATAATATTCAGATTTTCAAGCTTATATATGCTTTGGTTGTGTGACAATGCTGCTGGGATTCATACCTTATTCTGTAAATCTTTTTCTACTTCCTCTGAATGAAAGATGTGAATTCGCGCTTTATGAGTTTCTAACTTTAATAGAACACATACCTCTAATATATGACTGACTTGTTAACAATTGCATAAACATAATAAATGCTTTGAAAATTCTTATCTTTACATCTTACTCTCAAAGAAAAAATCTCTTTTAACACACAACCCACAGCTTACAGCGAATTGAAAAGTCCAATGGTAGGCAAGGTTCATACGAGCGGAGGTCCAAGATGCGCCTCAGCTCTCACACAAAAGTTAAACACTGCTCAGACATATGTGGTTTTTGACTTGCTGCTTCGTGGTTGATTATTTTGCGCGACCTACATGCGTAAAACGGAACTGAGCTGCATTGAAATGCTCGTGCAATTTCAGATAAGATCGCTGCCAGATATGCCAGCGCCTGTGTATGCAAGTGTGCATGTTAATCTCACGAGCAATTCAAGCAGCACAATTATGTTTGCATGAAAAGCGTGAGTCTCATGTGGCATGTGCAGTAAGCATTGAAGGACACTGAGGAAAGCAAAAATTCTAGAAAAAAATCTAGAAATTTTCAAGTCTCATGTGTGTATGTGTAACGAGTTGAAAAATAAACAAGAACAAACAAAATGCAAAACATAATGCAACAAATATCAGTTAGAAGAGAAGATTGTGAAAGTACACAAAAGAATAACATAATCTACATATGAACGTTGGAATGGTCGTTGATGGGTGCTGCCAAAAGTAGAGCAAGCGCATGCGCCACGAAGTAGGCAATACGAAAAGGAAGTAAACTTGAATAGAATATCATATGTATACTTCGCTATGTGTACATGATAAACGTATACTTAATTAAGTATTTACTAGTATAGAGTTGTGCATACTTTCGGGACCCTCAAGTCACATACCGGAAATAGCGGTATTTTTCAGGACATCAAAAGATAGAAACTGTTGTTATTTTACTAAAGCAAGCAAGTCCCGAATTCGTAAGTAATATTTTCGGGATTATTTTTTCGGGTTCCCTAAAATGTACTTAGTATTCACAATTTCGGATATGTAGTCTACGTGTGCATCCATATACCTATTTATACGCTTATTCGTGGTAGGGGGTGGTTAAGTATTAAGTATTTCAAAACTGTATTATCGGAAGTTTAAAATAGCGTACCAGAAACATTAAGACTTTCATTGGGATTTTCCAGTTAAATAGTGCCTTTTGGGGTTTCTTTTAATACATTCGTTTCAATACAAGCCCCGAAATTTCGAAAGTACAAAAAATATTTTCGGGACTCGTATTTCGGGATCCCGAAAATGCACTTAATATTCATAATTTCGCATATGTGTGTAAAATATATATATATTTTTTTACATAAGCAGCAAGCCAACATTTTAAATATTGCTTAAACCGTAATTTCGGGACCCTCAGATCAGATCAGTGAAATAAAGATTTTGCATTGGGATTTTCAGGACATGTAGTTTCATTTCTGTTATTATTAATATATCATAGCAATCGTATCGGTAGAAGTACCAAAATATCGAGGTCCCGAAATCGTAAATGGTACTTTCAGGATTCATATTTCGGGACCCCCAAAGCAAAAGGCTGCGTTGCAGCTGCGACTATTGCAACATTATCACGTGGCGTAGCGAAAAAGTGAAAATGCATGCCACTGCGGCACACAAAGCACATATGATGAATAAACAAATTTACACGGTCCTGTCTGCACACATTCACGCTCATAATGTTGGCATGTATGCATGTGCCTGTGCCTGGTTGTAGCATCAAAAGCGGATATCCTTTCTACAGCCGTCATTGAAATGCTTCCGCTGCTATGCTTCATCTCGCCTCACTTCACCCATACATGCAACCACTAGCACTTCTGCTTCATTTCCGCCGCAAACGCCGCATACGAACTTTTGTAGTTTTTCCTGCACCGCAACACCTACAAACATATGCACACACACACACACCATCAAACACAAAACCACCCACCCGCCAGGTCGCCTTCACTATGCTTCCTTTGTTTGCATTTTTATGTTGTTTGCCACATATTTTATTTGAGGCGTGTTGCAGCTGTGCACACTCGTCCATTCGTTGTGGCGCAACTATCACGCCGCAGCGTTGGCTTTCATACATAGATATGTTTGTGTTGTTGCGGGTTTTTCTCTTTACTTTCTGGTGCAGTGAATTATGAAAATACGCTTGTGCAAAGCGAAGACTAAACTGTAGCTCAGCTCCTTCTTGCATGAATTCAAAAATTTCCTTGCACACATACACACACACACACACACAATGGCATGCCACGCTTTGTTTTCTTTGTTTAGCTGCAAGTAAAAGTAAATCTGTGCACTTTCCTGCCACCATTTTACGCTCGAACCACGCTTGCTACCTCGCGCTGCAGCTAGCTGTACATCCGCAAACTTGCGCCTCATACCCACATTGTTTATGTTGGTTTATAAAATATCCACTTTGACGGTTTTTAATGTAATAAAACTAAAAGTAATTTCATTTTTTGAAATAATTTTGTTTTTCTTCACTGGCGTCTTCCTTTGCCCCATAGCATTCCTACAAGTGCGGTTGTTTGTGTGCTCGCATGTATGTAGAAAACTTTAGTTTATATGTGTTGGCTTCTTGTGCTTTTTCGGTTGGTCGCCTAACGGCATTCAGGTTGTAGGTTGCAGAATGTTTTTCTGATAAATTTTCGGTTTGCTTTATGCATTCTGCTAGCTGGTTGGCTGCCTGACTGCTTAGCTGCTGCATTTGTTGGCCGCAGGTGCCCGAATCGGCGGAGCTGCCGCAGCAGCTGCTTCTTTCTATTCATATGAAAATACTGCGCTTTCTTTAATGGCTTGTAACCTTAACCTGTCTGGCGGCTTTGTGTGCCTTTTGGCTCGCTTTGCTTTTGCTGTTGGCGTTTTTTGCTTTTTATTCTTCACATTTTTCGTGCATTTGTCGGTGTGCTTATTTCATTTCTCTTCGGCTTTTGGGTATTATAAAGTTGAATCTAAATTAAATTTCGGAATTTTTCAGTTAACTGCAATTGGCCAGAAAAGCTTTTAAGCTTGAATAGTGATATAAATTCTCAATGAGAGATTATTATACCGTTTCTTTCTTCTACTCTTAGTAGCTTCGGTAGCGACTTAGTGTCGTAATATAGCAAGATTGCTCTGAGGCAATTGAAATATATGTCAATTTGTCTCGGAAGAGAAGAGGTGATTCTTTGTACAGTTTGATTTCATTCTTTCACATACATTCGAACGAGGCATGAAAGCTAGAACTCGCTGGAACATAGGAGCGGTGATTGCGAGGAAAGTTGGTGGAGAAGTAAACTATCGGCAATTTTCTTTCAGATCCAGTTTTAAGCTTCCCGACCGTCCTCCAAGTGGAGCTGGATCATAAAGGCAACAAAACTAATGAAAGTATGTCTAAGCATCGAGTTATATCATAAATAGACTGGTTAGGGTGCCTGGCCAGAGCATTATTGCAGGAGATTGTAAAGCTACTCAATAGTAGCGAAATGGGAACGAGTGGGAGCTAATTTGGCTTTCTTTAACACACTATTGAACTGTTGGGTCTCAGACCAAATAAAAATTCGCTGCTCGCCTGAATACATTTCAGGAGGATCAAGGAACTGTTCGCTCTCAGCAAAGTTTACCTTTCGGTGGTTGTATCGCTTCTGACTGGACACTGAATGATCGAGATTCATGAAATAGCATTGGATGTATTTCTGGCATCCCCCCATTTTTGGCACAATCTCAATACATCCTCCTCGAAATAGAAATAACATACGTAAGCAGATTTGTGATAGGTTCAGGGAGTTTTTTCCGATGTCTGACATCCAACTAAAGGTGTTTTATCGTTTGGAATTACGATGAGTTGTTTATAATAGTCAAAGTGTAATCTCTTCTGGAATGCTGAGGGTCATTTCAACTTTATTAACCTATCCTAAGGTGCACTTCTTCTTACAACACTATATCTACTCAGCTCAAATCTGACTCTACCCATATAAATTCTTCGAAAGGGGAAAAATTCTATGAATTGGATAATGACTACCTATAAAAAGCATAAAAAATTTGTGCTGAAAAATGTAAGTCATTACTTTAATTTTTTTTTTCAAAAAACTGTTTCAATAAACGCTCGCAATTCAACTGAAACCCAAAAAAGTATAAAGAGACAATTCAAACACAAGAAGGTAATTTCAGGCACTTTTCAAGGGATTTAACAATTTTAACCTATAGTTTCTGTTAGTTTTCCTCACAATTTTGCCTTAGGTATGAACGATTTCGGAGAATGGCAGGAATGTCAAAAATAAGTCGTAATTTCATCAAATTGGCAAGTTTTATCTACACTTAAAATAACTAAAGAGGCAAATAGATAAGTCCAGCATTTGCAATGTAAATCCGTGTAAATTTCTCCCAGCACTTCAAAGGGGTGATATGATGAAAGTACTTCTTAGTTCACTGTCCACAGCCGTCAAATCAATAATAAATTTTAAAATTTAATTTTTTTTTCGAATTGCTACATTTCATTAGAAAATCTAATAACAGCACTGATAAGTAATATAATTCTTAGAAATATTACGTATGATAAGGAATAATTATCAAAGCTTACAAACATATATAAAGCAAAGAAATTTCGATCAAAATCAACAGTAGCCAATGTCTTTCATGCAATTAGCTGAAATCAAATAGCAAAGTTAAAAAACTATTAATAAAAATGAAAGTTATTGTGCAAGTTTGCGTGCTCTTGGCCTTGGGGACAGTCGCTTATTCCGCAAGCTCAACTTGGGGTGTGCACAATGTCACCGATAGCGTAATTATCAACAAAAGAGTAACCTATCCAGCAATGCGAAATGCTGTGCAGACATTCTACTTCGATATTCCAGAGTCGGTAAGTTACATAAGAAACAGGACTCTGTGATGCTTTTATTGTCATTCCAATTCGATTTTTGAAATGGCCCATGTTAGATTAATTAATAAATACTTTTTATTTGCAGTATCAGAGCAACAATAAATTGATTAGCGCCATTTACTTGCAAGACCAATTTCAGAACAGTTCAGGTCCCACTAATACTTTGGTGTATGGTGGACCCGGTTGGACTTACGCTTCTATACAAATGAGAACTCAAATCGGTCTTGGTATAAATGTAACATATGTTGTTTATGGCAAATAAATCAATAAATAAATATAATAAAATCATTTTCGTTCAAATTGGTTTAGATGGGATCGAATCGTGACCGATAGCATAATCGTGGTCGGTTAATAAAATTTTAAATACTCCCAACAAGTTGCTATAAAGTATAGTAGTTATACTAATCCAAATATATAGGTTTTTATAAACAATACTAGCGCATCCGGCCACTCGTTGCTGTGGTATAGATTTTATACTATTATTCATATAATAAACTATTCAATACAGTGAAAATTCTATTTACGAATAAAGGCGAAAACGATTTTGCAGTTTGAGAATCCAACGGATTGTACCTGAGGATTAATTTTGAATAGGTTTATACACATAAGTTTCATTGGAAAAAATAACGAGTTCAAGGCTGCTTTCTCAATGTCTGTCGAGTCCGCATAATAGGTTGTACTTAACAAACATAAAAAAATTTTGGACCGGCCAGTGTGAATTGTTAATGGAGATGTCCGCTTAATACAGCTATCACTGTACCATATTTTCTATTTATGGATTATTTTTACTATCCTATCATCTAAGTGGACTGGAATGCACAGTGTGCATAATTTTGCTAAAATCGTTTCAGCAGTTTAGGAGTCCATCGCGGATAAACAACGTGATACTTCCGTAATTTTTATACATAAAGATTATTAGGATGATGCGTTGAGTTTATGCCGGGTAACTGTCGATGCACTTGTCTGACCCGTTGTCTGTCAATCTGAAAAAGCAATAGCTTCAATATAAGTAAGATTTTTTAATGGAATGTAGTATACGTTTTCCTAGCTCCTTGGCTAGTATTTCAGATTGGCGATAAATCATAAATACCTCAAGCTATATTAGCGAAACGTGATTGACCTTAGTAATTATATGACCTATAGTTTGTAGTTACACCCCAAATAGGCTTGTAGTAATTTCGTCGAATAAATAATATTGAATTCTTTTGCATAAAATATTTATTAAACATTTATGCCAATAACAACCCGACCAAGATTATGCTGCAGTTTTATCTGTACAAATTGCGAGAGTATAAATTGTCAGGCTTTGTGAATAAACATTTACCTGTATAGCCGCTCTCGCACCGCGACTTATTGCCGGCATAACACTCGTATGCAGTACGCACTGTTTTTTTTGGCCATAAGTCATGCCGTCAACTTGATAACAGTTATCTGGATTCAAATCGATTGGTTCTGAATAGGCCGGTAATGTTGGACTTGGTGTACTACCATTTATCGCTGGCATGCTTGATTGGTCGGCAGCAATATCGCGTGCGCCTGTTATCAAGGTATCCCGCTCAAAATAGCTCGTACTGTATTTAGCAGCGAATTTATCATTATTACCGGCCCGACGGCCTTGCTGACCGCCACCTATATTGCGGCGTTTATGATGCGAACGTTTGGAACGTGATAGCTCTTGCAATTCACCTTCGTCGACATGAATGGTTGGTAACGTCGTCGTTTCCGCACTTTCGTTGTAGTGTATCTTGAAGGAATCAGGTATTTCAATGGAGACGGCAAAACGTTTCGTATTATTCAGGGTCTGTACGTAGGGCTCATAGTGCGGTCTTAAATATTCACGCTGTTCGCGTAGCAATTGTTCGCGATGACGCTGCCGCTGTTGCTCTTCGCGTTTACGCTGACGTATGCATTTTGGCGAATCTGGATTGCGTATGCACAATGGCTTTTTGGTAGGTCGTCGGGGTGTTGTACTGGTCATAGGTGTTGTTGTTTCCGGTGTGGTCGGTGTAGTGACAGCAACAGTTTGTGGCATACCCGAAGCAGTCTTATTGGCATTGCGATTTCGCGCATCACCACCACTAGTATCATTCTTGATTGTTTGATCATTCAACAGTAAGACTTGTGGTACAATAGTGATCTTGTCACGCGCATTCATGCCCGCTTGTGAGAGAAACACAGACATGCCGCCGTCGTCTTCATCATCATTATGATAATAGCCACCAAAAGGTTGGCCGCCAGGCAATTTCGCACCGCTTGGGAAGCCCGATTTACGTGTAGGTGGTGTGACGGGCGCTGAGTACTGAAAGATCGAGCGAAAGGGACGCGCGGTTGTTGTTGTTGTCGCTAAAACTGGTGTTTGGCGATCTTTCTGCAGACTTGGAAACACAACGAATTTCGATTGGAAATTACTATCGTGTTTCGTGAGATTCTGTAAGAATAAAATATGCTTCTTCAGATCATCAATATTCGAAGCGAACTCCGGTGTGGCCGTTGTTGTGGGCCGTCTTGTAGTCGTCGTCGTTGTTGTGGCACGTGTTGTGGTGCCTACCAGGCGTTGTGTGGCCATAAGTGTACGCGGATCTGGTGAGGCGTTCTTTAGCGCCATCGGCACTATGAACTTTCGATCTTCATCTGTTAAACTTGTGGGCAAACCATTCTCGTCGGTATCCTCATCAAGTAAAATAATTTGTTTTTGATCCATTTCTTCTTGTATGGGATGGCGTCGTCGTTGCGCCATAACAATACCACCACCGCCATAATGTGTATTACTACTCGTGCTCGCTGCGGTATTCGGTATTTTTTTGGTTAAATCGGCCTTGACGAAACCCGTCGCTGAGTCACGCAAATCGACGGGCTTTATGAATGTGCCCAATTTACGTAAACCCTCTTGATGCATGAGCGCCTGCTCATCTTTGGTTATATTGAGAGGAACACTGCTATTGGCCAGCACCTCTACTTCGTTGCTGAATTCGATGAACGGTGATTTCACGCCGAGACAACTGGAGAAGAGATGAATAAAAGTGGGATATGAATTAATAAAGAAACGGAAAATCTGAGTATGGAGATATTAAATTTTGAGAGAAGTGGAATTTTAATAAAATTAATAATTAATTTCAGCACTTGAAAATATTTTAAGAAATAATTCTTTACTTTTATATAAATCAATTAAAATAAAAAATCTCTTAAAAGTTGGATATCGAATTTAAGCAGAAGTCTTTTAAAGATGTGGAAAATAATATTAAAGTCTAAGGTCCATTTCAGCGAACTATTTTGAAATTTTCCTGGTGTAAGACCTCAAGCATTATGCTGTGGGGAAAAGTCAGTCTAAACTTTAATATAACAAGTAAGGAAGAGCTAAGTTCGGGTGCCACCGAACATTTTATACTCTCGCATGGCAAAGTGATAATCGAGATTTCAGGCGTGGTTGTGAACCGATTTCACCCATATTTGGTACGTATCATCAGGGTGTTAAGAAAATATTATATACCGAATTTCATTGAAATCGGTTGAGTAATTCCTGAGATATTGTTTTTGGTCCATAAGTGGCCGACGCCACGCCCATTTTCAATTTTTAAAATAAACCTGGATGCAGCTTCCTTCTGACATTTCTTCCGTAAAATTTAGTGTTTCTGACGTTTTATGTTAGTCGGTTAACGCACTTTTAGTGATTTTCAACATAACCTTTGTATGGGAGGTGGGCGTGGTTATTGTCCGACTTMTTCCATTTTTGAACTGTATATGGAAATACCTAAAAGAAACGACTCTATACAGTTTGGTTGACATAGCTATAGTAGTTTTCGAGATATGTAGGGGCAGGGGCCACGCCCACTTTTCCAAAAAATTACGTCCAACTATGCCCCTCCCTAGTGCAATCCTTTGTGCCAAATTTCATTTTAATATCTTTATTTACGGCTTAGTTGTGACATTTTATAGGTTTTCGGTTTCCGCCATTTTGTGGGCGTGGCAGTGGGCCGATTTTGCCCATCTTCGAACTTAACCTTCTTATTGAGTCAAGAAATACGTGTACCAAGTTTCATAATGATATCTCAATTTTTACTCAAGTTACAGCTTGCACGAACGGACGGACAGACGGACAGACGGACGGACGGACAGACAGACATCCGGATTTCAACTCTACTCGTCACCCTGATCACTTTGGTATAYATAACCCTATATCTGACTCTTTTAGTTTTAGGACTTACAAACAACCGTTATGTGAACAAAACTATAATACTCTCTTTAGCAACTTTGTTGCGAGAGTATAAAAACATTTTGTAGAAATTTTCATCATGACTAGGCGAACCCAGATGATTTCTTATGCATACATTGCCCAAATGGAATTTTTCATTACTATATATTATACATATAAGACGTGTCTTTATCTAATAAACATACATATATGAACCAGCAATTGTAAATGCATACGTAAGACACTATTCTTTCGCCGTTAAAAAAGTTGTTCAAATAAAAAGCACTGCTTACGACTCATATAATACCACGACCTCTGTCACCAAAGCCAACCCAAAATGCTGTGAAAAATTGACATCTAAAATGCAGTGACAGGGCCAATAGTCGAACAAGTAAACGACAGTCAATTCATGCACTCTTACATATTTACATATGTATGCACGAATATGCGCCGATTATGAACCGAACAATCAATTGGCAAAGCGACCAGCGGGAAAAAAGCTGGCAGACCCGTTGGCAGACACAACGAAGCACAAAACTCATGTCAAAGACTTATGTAGACAAATGTTTTCAAATGTGTAAATGTCATTTTTCAAATGTCAAGTGAAACAAATCGTATCGGAATATTAAAAAAATGTATGTATGTATGTAATATAAAGAAAGAGAAAGACAAACATGCATACGATATATAAGTATAGGTAGATATGTACGCGAGTGAATGCAGAAAAAGTTATCACATACAATTTGACAACTAAACCAAGCGGAAATTTCAAGAACGCTTTTGTTGTTGTTGCATTTGTGAATGACCAAAATTCGTAGCAGACGATGACAATCGACTTGGCAAAGATCTCTGTTGGTGAGTACGCAGCACTTCGTAGACACTAGATTTGATTTGTTACAGATGAGAAAGCAATAAAAGCAATAACAATAACAAAGTGCCGCTTATCATTTGTGAGCGGTAAATAAATTGCTCACTTATCGAAAGATTACAAACGAACCGATATTGATGGCATAATAGAGTGACTATTTGCTGTGGTGTGGTGAATATGGAACTATGTTTAAGCGCTATTATACCCCAATTAGTAAAATTTAGCAAGCGAATGTCGATGCATTGTGATTGCTTGAAGCAGTTAAGGTCTTGCTAGTTGTTTTGAAAATTTTGTTTGTCAGAATTTATAATTTTAGTGCTATTAAATAAGCGTTAATCCAAGAGTTTTATCGAAATGTTTAAAATAATATTATAGTTTCGGAAAGATAATACGCTTGATATTATAATAAGTGATCTAACAATTCTCTCTTTTACCAGAAACAGTTTGGTTATTAGTGCGAATACTGATAAGAAATTGTAGGAGAATTTTATTTAAAAAGGAAATCTCTTCTGGCTTTCATCGAAAAGGTAATAGTAAAAAAGTTCTCTCAATATTGAATTTTCGAACCACTAACGCCCACTTTAGTCATTTAATCCTGTCACTTTTACCTTGTTTCAGTTACTTATCATATTTTTTAAAAGATGCTTAGAGTAGTTTCTCCCTTTTTTCTGGTATTTCAATCGATTTTATCCGAAGTTGTAAGCCCTTGGGCATCGAATAATGGATTTTTTATGCCACAATACTGACAATTAGAAACCAATTTTCTTTATTATCTTGATCTGAAACAATCATTTAATATCTCCCAACAAATTGGAGGGTGATTTTTGTCCATTTCATCTCCTCCAAAGTAATCCCCTCCCGCTAAACTACACTTTTGCTAACAAATTTTCCAGTCGTCATATCACTTGGAAAAATCCTCGTGATGGACATCAGAGTCTTCTTCGATTCAGCTATTATATCCTCAATTGACGTAACATGGAAGTAATCAGTAAACAGTGCATTATCGCACTAAATTAAATTTAGACATAGTAAAAAGCAGTGAATTAAGTTTTATAGCTTCATAAAACGACGCGTATCTCAAATAGTAATGAATATTTAGGTATTAAATTTAGCAAAGATGTCACTAACAGTACTACCAATTTACGGAAAAATTTTCCGATTTGAAAAACACTCGAAGTGTAAAATTTCACCTTTCAATTTGATCGCAGTAGTATACTATTTTAATATTTATCTTAATGTGAAGTACTTGTGTTATCTTAAATATTAAATTGTCATACGTGTTACTTCCGACTAATGCAATTGATTGTAATCCAAACTAAAAGGTCTAAGTACATATATACATCCTATACATCCTTTTTACTGTACTATGCTTATAAGATGCTTAGACATAATTTCTTCGCCTAGCAACTTTTTAGTCATTTCAATACCCTCTGTCAATAAATGATCTGTTAGGTATTTTTGCATCTCAAATGATTTATTATTTCTCTTTACTTCTGAATCATCCTTAAAATTAAACCTTATCGACTAGTTCAAAGCAATAAGTACAGTCAATTAATATTTTCTATGAAAGGAAGCATGAAGGAAGAAACACTTTCCTACAGGGATACGAAAATTTGTATACTCATGCGTGTACGCCGATAGTCGTGTGATTAATTTTTTCATATTCACTTTTCACTTCAATTTGCTCTCTCTTGTGGCGCTATCAGCATAAGTTCGATTAGAGTTAATGAATTTTTATAAATTTCTTTCAAATTGTCGTAGACTTTAATAGTTTTTTTTTTCAATTTTAGACCGCTTATTTTCATGTGTACATCTAAGTAGATTTGTAAAGCTTTGTTGTTCATGATTCTGCTTTATGTAAATTAATTACTGCTGCTCGTGGGGCAAAAGAAATGTCTCTTGTATGAGAAATTAAATTAATGTTTGACATTATGGTTTCCTGTGATAGGCGTGGCGCCAGTAAATGTGGTTTGAACTGCATGCACATGTGTGCGCGTGTGTACATGCGTGCGTTTTAAGTGTGCGTTGATAACAGATGCGTTGGCGCTGCGTTGCAAGTGGACAGATTTATCAATGTTAAACTTGAATTTATGGCCACACACAAGGCGTATTAGGTGACAACACAGTCATTAGAAGCATGCTGGCAATGGCTGGTGGGTTAAAGTTCGTGAGGCAAAAATGATAAATGTGTCTTAGTGTGACAATTAAATTTTTAAAATGAAATCGTTAATTGACGCATAAAATAATTTAAAGAAATAGAAATAAAAAGTAAAATAGTTTTCAATAAACGTGCCATATCACCCTTCACCCTTTTTTGGAGAGGCTGCTATAATTAGCTTTGATTGTGGGCACTCTCCACATATAAACAAATGTACATAAATATTAAATATTTTCTTTTATACTGTTATAAAGCGTTTGCAACAATAAAATCAAGCGCTAATTGAAATTCATTCTCAAACAAATTGTGAGCGTTTAATTTATATGTGAATGTTTTCAGCACTCAACACTTATGTATCAATTCTCGCGCCTAACTCTGGAATTCGCAGAGTCTCTTAAAAATAATTCACACACAATGCTGCTTCTAGTGTGATTTTTTAGTATTATTTGCGCATCCAAGTTTCGCTTAATTTGTTTTGATAAGCTTTGCGAATTCGACTTTGAAGCAGCTCAAAGTTGGCACTGCAAATTATATTTGATTTAGTATCGCTCTAAGCTTGAAAGAGGCAACTAAACCGGTTTTATATATTTTTTCTGTGTTTGAATTTCCCAAATTTGTCAATTAAATACGCTTAACTGAGAAAAATATGTGTAAAATTTTGCTTTTGCTTTGCATTTCGATGGGTTTGAACGAGAATATGTTCGTTGAGCCGGCAACAATACCTGAGAGCCATAATGAAGTTTGGGGTGCACGTAGCTCAGGTGACGTACTCATTAAGCGTGAAATAGTGAAAGAGACTTTTAAACCGTTGCGCGTGGTGTCGAGTGACTATGAATTCAGACAAAAGGTAGGTTAATGCATATACAATTAGTGGTTTATTTATAGCTAAATTCGTTTGTTGTTTTAACCAATTTTCTGTCTTCACTCTATTTCTGCTATTCACATCCATTTGGTTTTCTTAAAATTGTTATTTGATAAAAATACAAATAAAATAAAATATTTGCAATTTCCATAAATGTTTCAAGTGTTTAGTTACTTCTGTTTCTGTTTATCAATGAGATTCTGTTTTCACATACAAATGTTTCTACTTCGTATGTGTTAATTGAAATCTATGTATTTTATTCAAACTAGTTTGAAAAATTATATTTCCTTAATTTCTGTTTCTGTTCATTTTCTGTTTCAACTTTTCTAGTTTCTGTTTCTGTTTTGATTTAAATTAAAAAATTTTTACTAAATATGTCTTTATCTTTTTTAGGCTGATAGTATTGTCCATCCCCGTACGATTACCCAAATTGTGGTCACAGACATCTATACTGATGGCGATGGTGGCTATGCATCATTGAAAAGCGGTGGACCAGGAATGGATTTTGCAGTTATACATTTAAAAAGCCAGCGTGGTCATGGTTATCACTTTACTCTTGATTTCTATGGACAGTGAACGAAATTTCGATTATGTAATAAAAAAATATGTATTTTACAATAGTTTTGAGATGACTTTTAATAGAACATCTACATATTAAAACTGTTGGGACGAGATTAATTTTATAATATTAAATAAGAAATCAAAATATATATTTGCGTTGATATAGCGCACGAAATTGATAAAAATATATGAATGAAACATTATTTTATTGTAAAAGTTTTAATAATCTTAAATGCGTATATCGTGACACTATCATTAGTGCATGTTTATGAGTTTAATGGTTTTCTTTGCATCACTTCTCTTGTCACATATTCCACTTAACAAAAGTGGTTAACTTTCTTTGGTTCTAACAGTTGTAAGCACCTAACAGTAATATAAATAGCTGACAAATTAGAAGTCTGGAGAGAAGGCATTCTTCATCATACGAAATATAGGAGCTGTCGTCTTTACTTATTCGTGGAAGTCAATATTCACTAACGGGGTGTCTCTAAAAGTTATCAAATCCTCTTCGTCTTATGAAATAATCGCTTTTCCAGAAATTGATGTACAAACTCTTTTGTCTCATCAAATCGTCAAGGAAGCGGAGGCACTACCTTATTTTAATATTGACCAGAAAGTGATCAACAATCTCTTTTGTCTTTCCGTCAATATTTTGTCTTGATAAGGTCATTATAGTGATCTACAAACTCTGTTGTCCTGAAAGAGCTTTACAATATCCGTTTTCATTTCGTCGAAGGTGCGAAATGAATACCCCATTTTGATATCGTTTAGAAAGTGATCTACCAACTCTATTGTCCCTTTGTCTATAAGCCGAAAACAATGTTCCATCTGGATTATGTCATAAAATTGATGTAAAAACTATTTGGTCTCTTCGAAGCAGATGCCTATATGAAATTGTTGATATTGTCCTAAAAGTGATATATGATCTCTATTGTGCCTTCATCGACGAAAAAAACATCTCTGAAACTAGATCAAGTATAATCAGATGAGACATTAAATAATTATGACCGACCATGTAAGCTGTATTATGTATACAGACCTTTTGTATGTTTCAGGAAGATTTATAGCCTGTCTAACAACACGATAACAGAAGGATCTTACTAAACTTGGAATCCAAACTTTTGTAGAAGAATATCATAGATTTATTTCTTTGACTATGTGGTAATACTATTGCATATTCTTGAGAACATAGTTAGTTTTTGAACTACAATTGTCACATAAAGCTGACTAAATACTAAAAGCATCACGAGTTCGAAAGCAACACATACCAATCAGAAGATAAGATACTCGTACGAAAGAAATAACTAATATATATTTTTCCAAACGCTGTTATGCAACATTTCAATGTCTCGCCTTGTGCAACAAAACCCCAAATAGTTACACTTTTTCGCAACATCCACGCTGTAGCGAGATAGTAGATGTGGTAAGATGGTGTAATAAACGATAAATGGGTTATTGGGTCATATTGCCAACAGTCATAAATATCTAACAAAAGTTCTAGAAATGCTTACAACCATAAGTATCAGGAACGAACTTTTTTGGTATAAAATGTGCAGCATTTAGTGGCAAATGACACAGTTGACAGGTAAAGGCAAAAAGAGCAACATCAACAAATCGCTGGTGTTTTAGTGCAATTAGTAAGGTGCGGGCGACGTAATTTTAAATAACACGAATTAATTTTGAATTTTTTTTACTTTTGAAGTATTTCGCTTTTACAAAATGAAAGCAGTTTTTGCTTTTTTAATATTTTCGGCCTCCATATTCACCTATACGAATGCCGTTGACCAAGTGCTTGGTGTAATTACGCCAACTGATTCAATACTGGCATTGACTACAGTGCAAAGACGCTTTCGTTTGGGCCAAGTGGTGACGGCTACCTATACATTTACGGTAAGCATTAAAATTTGATTTAAATGGCACAATTTTTCTTCCAAAATGTGAATATTATACCATAAACAGAGTATATTAAGATTTATACGCAAAAGGAATCGCCAGGGACCTCACTAAGTGTATATATAAATGGTCAGCGTGACGAGCTAAGACGATTTGGTTATGAAGAACTGTGTGTCCGTCTGATCTTCCGTATAAATGTTTACGATCTCGTTCCTCATTTTTTGAGATATCGAATTGAAATTTTGCACTCGATATTGCACCACTATAGCTTATGACTAAATTGTTTGTAAGGACAGCCTTTAATTGTACGGAATCTTTTGTATTTGTAGAGGGTACTGTAGGTTTGGTGCAACCGAAATTAACGTTTTTTATGGTTTAAGCTATAAATTTGATTTTTTACCGTTAGTTTTGTGTAAGGCAGAATTTTATTTTAATTTTAATTTCATAAGTTTAATTATATT